TCCTCCGCTCTCCATTATAGAGCCGATATCGATCCATGTTTGATCATGGTTCACAATCGATGTCCCTCTTGGCTCTATCAAGAGTCCTGGCGGGATATATAGACTCTGAAGGTGCCCCGAGTTGATCATCTTCGACTCTAATTTTGATTGATATCGATTGTGCACATCGGTCCAGGTAACGACATGGTATTCTATCAGGTTTTGCTTTAATTTCTCCGAAGCCACCGAGCTTTGAATATTGAGTCCCTGCGTGAAAGCCTGAACAGCCCAATCATCGGCGACCGGCGGCAGATCCATTCGCTCCATTTGAAAACGGGACACGAACTCCCTGAGCATCTTGCTCTCCTTCTACTTGACTTTGAAAAGGTCTGATTTCCTGGTTTCGACCTTGATGGCACCGGGATGTGCTTTTACCAATGAGTCTATAAGCATAGAAAATGAGTCAATAGAATTAGGAGATAAGTTGTGATACCATATCATGGCTCCCTTCGACAGGGTCTCCCCAAATTGTTTCAACAAAATAGACTCGATTTTGTCTTCTTCCAAGTCGTTCCCTTTTATGGCACACGTATAAGAGGTTACATGCTCGTTTGGATCGGTCGTTCTGTTGTACTTAGGTATTTCGGGCATACGAAATTTCTTGGGGATCGGTTTTGGGGGCGCGCCTGGAGGAAAAGGTTTTTGCACAAACTTCTTGGAATCCAGTCCCTTCAATATCGGGAGCGCTCCTGGGATTTGATCTACCCTGGAATTATAGGTTTCGACCTTTTTATCATTCGCTTCGATCTTCTTTTCCCCTGATTCTACCCGCTTTGTCAACTCCCCGAGCATTTTTATAATTTCGGGGTTAGTCCCCGACTCTTGTTCATTCGATCTTACCACGGCCGGTTCCGTTCTGCGAGTGACTTCTTGGGGCGGATCGGGTTCAACCCTGCTCGGTGCCTGGGTTTGGTTCTGTAACTGAGCTATCGCCACCTGTTGAGCTTGCAGTATTTCGAAGATCATGCGTAGGCTGATCCCATCTTCTTCAATGTTTTGTGTGTTTTGAGATGCCGATCTGGCTCCACCACAGACACTACTTTCAAGGTCGGTAGGCAAGTTCGCGTCAATGGCCACATGCGAATTTACATCAATCGGATCCGCAGTCCGAATTCCAACGACATCAGCGGGTGACCCTGCATTATTGGGCGCCATATTGTTATTCTCACCTTGATGACCGGACTCGTTGTCGATATGTAGCGGTGCTAATAGAGAGTTTATCATTTTTAGCCTTAAATCAACGACACTTCAAAGAGCAAGTGTAAAGCAGTGTGTGTTATGGAGATTTTTATCAAATAACCAATATTATTCTTAGCCCCACGGTGGGCGCCAAACTGTTTACCCTCAAAATCGAATAACAATTGAATTTATACGTGATTTTAAGGATACGTGATCTAATTTGATACAAAGCTTGAAATCAGATTTAATATGGAAGAATAAATAAAAAAATAAATACAAATTGTTACAATGTGTCCATGAATTACTCAGTTTCCTCTATATATTTAGGGAGATAAAGCTTTTAAGATATTATTTTATAATAAATTATGTAGACTGTTGGCTCCTTTTTTGACTTAATTCCGTAATTTCTGACATAATGATTGGTTAATGGAGAGAATTACAGATCCTTGTCGGATGAGTTGGCGAAACTTTTCTTCGAGGCCATCAGAAGTAGGATTGGTTGTGCCTTCGGTAAACTCGAAGGCAAATCTGATGATCTTGTCAAACTTCGAACCACGATATTTTGGCCTTCTGTTATTTAGCTCGGCAAATTTCCCTCGATCTTGTTCGGTCTCGATCTCGTTCGGTCCCGGGGTCACGAGCACAACGATGTATCTTCGCACCTTGGTTCGATATAACTCAAGATCAAGTTTTAACCTGTCATATTTCAGTCTCGATTGATCACACAAGAGGCGAACCCGGTTTTGACCGTATACATAAGGTATTAATAACACTTGGACTAAATATAGGTACGATATGATATATCAAAAAAAGCAAATCAAATCAATAAATGAAAAATAAAATATGCAGCATAAAAGAGATCGATTGGAGATAATTACGATTTGCATTGATGTGATAATATTTTATTGTTAGTCGATTTTCTTAATTGTAAGGATACTACTATATTTGTTGGGTGGCTTAAAAAAGCTGGATACTCATTAATTCTTTAAAACATAAATAAAGTTGTACAAAACGTAAATCAAACAATAGCTGTAAATAATGTAATATACCCTCACAGGAGTTGTAGTTATGAAAATTACCCTAAAACATTCCCAAACAGCGTGGTTCCCTTCAGCGTAATTTCCTGGCGGAATAAAGTGGGTGCATTTTAGCAGCTTTACGCTCGGCCCACTTCCCTTTTCTTTAGCTCGGCCGATTTCCTCATAACAGTGATTTTGGGTACTGAAACTAAAGAAATATTAGTGAGGATATTTTCTTCATGTTGATACAAGATTCTACAGAATAAATATTGTTGCTCGAGCATAGGGACTGATCTATAGAATTGCTGACAGAATAATATTTGCTAGGGCGTGTTTGAATAAAAGAATGTTCGTTAAATTTTACACCAAACTAAATAAATATGGAACCAGTTTATCAATATCGGAGTATTATTTTGAATTCATGTGAATGCCATCTGATTTACTTCCTGTTTGTTTCTGCGAAAAGAAGTAATTGGCCGGTTGTTTTAATCTTAGGTAGTTTTACGGTGATTTTGCTTATATTAACTGAAGGCTCTTTGATCTTGAGCTGAATCTCACTAGCGTTTACAAAAAAGAAGTAGAAGGAGATGGAAGGAATGAAGACAACTAGTTCTTTATTTACTTCTCATCTTTTTGGTTTTAAGGAAACTTGTGATTCATCATCTTCTGGGATTTTTGGTTCAATTAAAGCAAAATCTTCCAACTCAAACCCAAAATGATACACTAGAAACCTTAGGTTTGTCATTCTGCACTAACAATAGTTTGGGGTTCTTAATTTTTGAATGCAAAGGAATCGGATAGGTTTATCTCTTGAAGAACTGAGTAGAATCTGATTAAGAATTTTCGGAGGGTCTGTTCAAACTATACAATTTTGAAAAACCATGGAGAAACTGATGGTTTTATGTAGGAATATACACGGACCGGGTTGGTTCGAATTTGATCAAACCAACTAGTAATACCTTCAGGAATATTTGGCATAAGAGACTCCCTTTTAAGATCTCTTTTTTAAATTGGAGAATATTGAAGAACAGATTTCCCTTGGACGACTCTATTAATAGATTTGGACAACAAGTAGTTTCCAAATGCTTCTGTTGTGTTCCTGCTAGCTGCTTCAAAGTATGGCCATGTGAATGTGTCAATGAAAAAAGTCATTCATGAAATCTTTTTAAACCTGAAGATTGCTATTAAAAAAGATTATCAACACTTGCCTCTCAACTCAAATTGGATTCAATTCTCTGAGATAGTGGAAAGGTTCAAGCCTAGACTGACCAGTATCTTAGTCCATTGGTTAAAACCTCCTTCAACTAGATACAAATTGAATACTGATGGAAGTTCTATGATCACTGATAACAAGGCTGGAGCAGGAGGAGTACTTAGAGATCAGAGTGGTTCTATGATTATGGCTTTCTCTGTCTCCATGATCTTTTGCTCTAATAATATGGCTGAGATTCAAGCAGTAAACTTTGGATTGCAATGGTGCATGGATAATAATTTCAACAACATCATATTAGAATTGGAATCTAAGATAGTGGTTGACATGATCAAAGGGTCTAGCAAACCTTCCTGGAAGTTGCAATACTGGATCACTAGTATTCGGGACGAGATGACGCATCTTAATGCTGAAGTTTCTCACTGTTTCAGGGAAGCAAACATGATTGCTGATGCCTTGGCAAAATTTGGTGCTATTGAAGATTCCTCCAGAATCTTCATAAATACTAATGAACTCGGGGAAGTTATATTATGGATAGGACTGGTTTGCCGAATTTTTGAATCAGATCCCATAAAAAGGGTATAGGTTAAGTTCTTTGAATATATAAGGGTTCTCGGGGAATAGAGAATCATTATTTGATCAGGGTACCTTTTTTGAGAGCTAATTTGTTTGAAGGGTAACCCTCTGTTTGTCCACACTCCCACCCTTGTATTCCTTTTTTGCTTGTATTATCGGAGGTAAGATTTTTGGTCCCCCTCCTGTGTAATCTTGTTCAATAATAATACAAGATAACGATTTGGATTGGTTCGGTTTTGTCGGACTTTTCGGGTTTTTATTTTTTTTTGTTACATAAATATATATTATTTCAATCTTACTTTGTTAAATTTTTTATAAGTAAATATATGTTTAGTAAAAATTGAAAAAAATGATAAATATATGATCTATTAACATATTCTTATGGGAGAATTTTCATAGTTACATATGATAGTTATTTTTTAGTCGTCTCAATAATTTTTTGTTGATGTACACTTTTAAGGTTAACTGAATTAATAATTAAACATAAAAATCAATATGATGCCTATATAATAATATATTTTATTTAATTATAAATTATCGAAATACCACTTCAAATTCGAAAAAGATATAAGAATTTAATAGATCTTGACATATAGATATGGAAGAACAAAGAGATTGACGCATTTCATTAACACTTGATAAGAAAGTGACCATACAACCAATTATTTAAAGTTAATAAAAATAGAGCACTTCATATTTAACTAAATATTACATCCCACAAGAGAATCGCATATATTTCTAGATATTTTTTAAACAAAATTCTATAAAATGTCTTAAAAGTATATATAAAAATTATATATTTATATGTCGGTTTAGTTCGAAATTTTTTACTCAATACCAAATCAAACCTAATCGGGGGTTTTAATCGGTTTGGTGCAATTTTCAAGTTCGGTTTGTACACCTCTTATGTATTGACACTTTGACTTGCTAGTCACCAAAGATGTCTTTCATTTATGCTGGCTATTTCAGATTTCAGTGCTTATGTTTTCCACAATAGCCAGTGTCTTCAGTTCAATCCATATATGCTGGCTATTAAATTTTGTGCTTGATGCATTTTATAAGAGTATTTAAGGTGATGATAATAAAACCAGATTGTACAAATGGTATATTCTTTGAAGGAATTTTGATTTACTCCTCTGCTCCTCGTACCTCTAATTGCTTTTTTCAGGCAATACTCCTCGGAGCAATGAGGCTGCAAGAAAAGCACACAAAATAAGGACATGAGTTCATTTCTTTAAGATGAAAAAGTGAAGCCTTGCCATCTTAGCTCATCAATATACTATGGAGGACAAGATGTCTATTCGCATCCACCCAATAGCCAGAGGAGCAGCTCTACCAATACAACTGTGAGTTCATTCTCATATATGAGAATAAATTGAACAATGTCATAACAGCATCTCAGACATATATATATATTGCTATAATTAAGTTCTAAGATGGTTTATGAAGTGACTAGTTTAGTCCTCAATATCTTAACAAAAGAATATACTTGACATGGTTACATATACTCTTCTAGGTATTTGAAGGTATTGGTTAGTATACTCATCTGTCACTTGTCCTGAGGAGAGCTTTTGGTCTTCTGCCTTTCTTGTTTCCCCTATGTTTTTCCTACTATTATAACTTCAACCACTAAAGGCTTTTGTTTCCTTTATTTTAATTTCCTTTTAATCATTAATGTCTAAGTTATATGCATTTCAGCTACGTCAATTTGAGTGATGAATTTTTGCCCTGCTTGTTTGGGAGCATGGTTTTTCTGGAATACAGGAGTTTGGACCTTCATTAACAATGACACATGATTTCACTCTTACCACATTTTTTTGTGCTGAGAAGATTTAACAAGTTAGAAAGCTAAGGCGACTATTGTAAAGTGATGTGCCCCTAACTATTATCATCCTCGTCTCGACCTTCAAATTTCCAGCGCACTGATGCATTATAATCATGTTGAGCTTCATATCTGTCTTATGGCAGGAAGTTATAAATACAGGGAAGCTTTCCCCCCTCCTCCGCTAAGAGATGGATGTATTATTAATAGTAATAGCCAAATATGACTGCTTGCTGGTTACACTTATATCATACTTATTATGTGTTGTTGTAGTCATCACTCTTTCTTATCCTTACACTTATTATAAAAGACTATAGAGACAATGCATTTACGTTAAACTGTAAAGTTGGTTGGTTTAGGAACCAGATTACTACTTATTAAATTGTGGACTTGACTAATTTTAGGCATTTTCCTTATGCAGGTTCTCCTTCTTGTTCTTGTTTCTGTACGTATCACTTCTTTTGAAAGTGTCAATTCTATCATGCTTTGGAATCGGCCTTGAACTTTAATCATTTCATTGCTAATGAAATTTAAGATTCTGAAAGGAAGACTCATTCCTTAATACCGACCAACTAAACCTTTTCTGTAAGTCAAGTCCAAATGCATAATAGCAGTGGAAAGGACTCTAATATCTAAATTTTCTTGAGAGCCTCGCACCAACTTACTTCACCTATGTGACAAAAAATAGTTGATTCTACGTCCGAGTAAAGGAAAAATGTCGCAATAGGATGAAGGTCGCAATAGGATGACGGTCAGTGTAACAATAAGATGAAATTGTGTAAATATCATATATCTGGATATAGAACGAAATAGATATTGAAGATTCATACATCTGATACTAAAAAATCCAAGATGGTGGCTTAGTACACAGAATGATTGATTGTGACCTCACAAGAACTTTCTGCTGTTTTGTAGATTGGCTTTTCTTCCATTTCGTTTACTCTCAGTTCACTGGACGTGCCACAAACGAGACAATTACTTTTTTAAATGAGTCCAAGAAGTTATCTCAGAGGTGTTTACTACCAAAACCATATATAGTCCTGAGATTTTATGAGATGGGACCAAATTCTATTACTATTGATAAGAAAAGTTCCCATTGACTAATATGATGGCCACAACCTCTTCTCAGTTCTCTGGTGGTTAAGTGTATGTATCTTTTGATAAATGTTTGTTGTGTAATAATGATAAAAGGACTGTCCGGTGCACGAAGCATTCCGCGTTCACGCAGGGGCAGGAAAAGGGTCGCACCACAAGGGGTGTGATGTAGGCAACCTACCCTTATGGTTGAAGTATTAGTGGTTGATTCCACGGCTCAAACTCATGACCTATAGGCACGGGAGACATCTTTACCGTTGATTCAAGGCTCCCCTTCAGTCCAATGACAAAGAATTGATAATCAATATGTTGGATATTACATTTGTATTATCTGTGTGGATATTGTTTCTGATTGTCTGTCGATTGTATGCTGGAGTTCCCTTATGCTGTTTTGGTTACTTTAACAGTCTTTGATGAAGGCACCATATAGAATAATTTGCTTGGTTTTTTTTATTCCAGTCAAGCAAACATCAGTAGATATCTGTTTCATTCAAGAATTTAAGAGACAAAAATCGAGGTGTCAAACTACTCTTGAATCCCATTGCTTTCAATTTATCATCAACATTTCCTCCACAAGGTCATCTTCCCTTGAAAATGTCTACCCAATTATTCCATCACCAACAAGATGTTTTCCACCATTCCTCCCCCGACCCACACAAAGAAGAAACTTATCAAATTTTTCTTCTTTTTTGCTCTTCAACTTTCTACTTATTTTGTCTTTGATGGTTTCGGGCAAGCAATATTTGGACTTATACTTCAATTCTTAGCGATCTTATTTTATAAAAAATAGAAAGTATATTTTACTCATTAAGTCGTCAGAGCAAATGCAACACATTATCTCAGTCAGCATCAGGTATCAAACAAAAAACATACAGTTGATTGCTGACTAAGAAATTTCTTATGATTTTCCACTCTACAAAAGACAGAACCAATAATACCACCATAAGACAACATAGTACTGTAGTTGTGAGAACAGAGTTGTTCGAAGAATATGTCACAGTGAAGTTGCTTGGACACGACTAAAAGAGCAAGAGTAAAGCACAAAAGCTTAATTATGTTTATTGTATGGGAAAATGCATAAGTACCCCCCGAACCTATATCCGGATTTCCAACTACACACTTTATTTTTGAAGGAATCCTATTACCCCCTAAATTTTTTTAAATGTAATAAATATCACCCTAAAACTAGACAACCAAACTCTTGGCAAGTAGTGAACTACACGCGCTGCCACATATATATTTAGTACTTTTTTTATTCTTTCTTCTTTTTCTTATCCTTTTTTCTTATTTCTTATTATTCTCATTTTTTTTTGTTATTTCATTCTCTTTCTTTTTGTTTTGGTCACCGAAGGCATAAAATGGTGGTCGTCGAAATTTCAAGGACTCCATTTTTTTCGGCGAAAAAAAATTTTCCGGCGACAGATTTTTATCCCGATCTAAGTGTTATATATATATATATTTTTTTTTTTCTTGAAAGTGTAATTTATGTGTGGGAGGAAGAGCAAAAGAAAGAAAACGAATATAAGCTGAAAATGGTGGTCGGAATTTCAAAGACTCCATTTTTTCCGGTGCAAATTTTTTTCCGGTGACGGATCAAAAAACAATGAGCTCCTCAAAAACTTTCTGGCAATCAACAATCAACAACCAAATTCTTCTTCCTCGTTCTCTTCAAAATTCTGGTTCAACAAATAAAACTTAAAGAATAAAATATGCACTCGATCTCGCCAAAGAATATGGAGAATGCCGGAGCTAATTTCCGGCCAAGTCTATAAGTAAAGAATTTGGAGGAAAGAAAAGGAAAAGAGAAAGAAAATCAAGAGAAAAGAAAAATAGGAAAATAGTATTTTATAAAAAATATTTTAAAAATAAAATTTCAACTTTCTCTATCTTTCTTACTCTGCCAGAGAGAGTGACATACGCTCTCTTGTGTCACACCAGCACTAAAGGTATACTAATTTCATTTAAATAAAATTTAGGGAGTAATAGGAGTCCCGCAAAGATAAAGTGTGTAGTTGAAAATTCAAGTATAAGTCAGGGGGTACTTATGCATTTTCCCTTTATTGAATCAATACAACATTCAAATACAAGAATGAAATAACCACTTCTCTAAACTAACTCATCCGGAAGGGGAGAACTAAACTACTTGCTAAACAAACCCTTTGAATAAGGAGATTTATTTGAGAAAAAAAAGAAATAACAAAATCCTAACTACTAGCTGAAGAAGTAGCAAAGCAGTAATCTAAGCATAGTAAACCAGTAGGTAACTCGTGCTCTAATACGCACCCCTCAAGGTAGGCAGTGTATAACAATGTCTAGCTTGATTAAGTGTTTGTCAAAAGCTGACTTTGGTAGAGCTTTGGTGAAAGTATCCGTGAGTTGATCTACAGCATGAATATAAACAATGGGAACTTGATTTTCTGGACTTGCTTGCGAACAGAGTGAAAGTCCACAACAATGTGCTTCATGCAGATATGGAATACTGGAATTTCGCACAGATAGGTTATATCACCATTGTTACAGTAAACGGTTGGCGCTTGCGGAAGTGAAACATGTAGTTCTTTTAGCAGATTCGTCACCCAATTATTTTCAGCAAGTGCACTTGCAACTGTTTGATACTCTGTTTCGATTGATGAGCGAGCAATTGTTCTTTATTTGTTGGATGACCAACTCATAGGATTTTGGCCAAAAAATTAATATGTAACTATTAGTGGAGGGTCGATCACTCACATCTCCAGTACAATTCGTATCAGAGTACATATGTAGCTTGAAATCATTGTCTATTTGAATACGAACGTCCAAACTGAATTGTTCCTTGGAAATACCCGAGTACTCGTTTGAATGCTTTCCAGTGTACTTCAGACGGGGAGTGCATAAATTGAGATAATTTATATATAGAAAAACTTATTTCTGGACGAGGGAACAAAAGTAGTTTTTCATGAATTCTCCTTCAGCGGGTTGCGTTAACTAGTTCCGCTCCATCATTTAGTTGAAGCACTTTAGTGGCATTCGTTGGGGGTTTTGCTAAACTGTAGCCTTTCATATTTTCTTCATAGAGGACCTTATTGATATAATTTGACTATGATAAAGTAATTTCATCTGCAACACGAAGCACCTTAACTCCAAGAAAAAAGTTAAGGTTCCTAACATAGTGGAAAAACGTCCAGCAAGATATAAGATAGCCTGATTTACATCTGAGTTGTGATTCCTTGTAATGATGATATCATTGATATAAACCAGCACGTACAAAATGTTGTTCGATACATTGCAAATGAAAAGTGAAGCATCAGACTTGACAAATCCCAAATAGGGAAGGAACGTCTTAAGTTCATTGTACCAAGCTGAGAAAATTACTTGAGTCCATTTATGGATTTCTTTAGACGGCATATATGAGAGGGGAACCGCTCATTTTTGAAACCCGGAGGTTGGACCATGTAGACTTCTTCTAGGTGACCCTGCAAGAATGCGTTGCTGACATCAAGCTGTCGTAAGGCCCAATTCTGCTGGAAAGCAATCGAAATCACCAAACGCACAGTAGTTTGTTTGACTACCGGACTAAATGTGGCGTGATATTCAACTCCAGGGCGTTGTGTAAACCCCTTTGCAACAAGTTGAGCCTTGTAGCGGTCCATCAACTTTTCTTTTTAACCTGTGTAACTACTTCAATATTTTTATGGGATTATGTGGTACCAATTTCCATGTCTAATTATTCAATAATGCATCAAATTCACATTTTATTGCTCTTTGCTACTTTGGGCGTTTGTCTTGTTTAAAACTGATAAGGGTGATGGTGGGGGATAAGTGATCCATGAAATCACAGATGGTTTCTCGTTTGTGAATGTTGAGTTGTGAATAAGTCACAACACGATTTTGAGGAGAAAGAGAAGGTTGTTGAGGTTCTGTGATTGGAACAGGTTCAGGGGAAGTTTGTGGGGGTAGCAGAATTGAGGCAGTGCTACGGGCAGCAGAGTTTTGGCTAGTAGATGCCATTTTTTGTAATTGTACGACTGTATACAATTGTAAAAACTGGTAATTGAGGTTGTGGGACTGAGGTGGATGGTTGTTGAAAATATACATGTATTAAGGAAGGAAATGGTGATAAGTAGGTAGTGATTGTGTTGGAGAGGAGACGTTTGAATTTCTTGGGATAACTGTTGAGGATGGCAATGGGGGACAAGATAAGGTATAATTAAGATCAAGAAGAACAATAGAATTTGTAGGAGAAGAAAGAGAAGACGTACATGTAGTTGCATATTCTATTGGAGCACAGGCAGATGAGATAGTGTCTTTGTGATGTTATCTGCATTGGGGATAAGTATAGGGCTTAGTAATTCGTTGATTATAGG